TAGATGACGACGGCGTCTCAGTTACCGGTAAAGATTGCGGGCGATCAGTTGGCTGCACTTCTTCACTATTTCTCTTTACATTATCAGCAGATCCTCGACGAGTTGTCTCTAGTGAAGGCTGAAACAGTTGAAAATGAATGGCAGCCTTCTCAATTTGGATACCCTTTCGTACCTTATAAAATTGACTAAAAGAAGAAGAAGGAGCATGTTCAAAATAGTCATCATCCGTCGATCCGACAAATATAGGTGTCGCAGAATTCTGAAAATTTGACTAATAATGACAAACATGATTGCGGAAATTCATTCCGCGATAATCGGGTAGGTGGAGGAGTCCAGATAGTGCATTTCTCACTGGCGCATCCCTCTTTTCAATCACTTGCGAAGAACAGAGGCGCCAGTAAGAGCACGCCGTGGTTACGAGCCCTGCCCACTCAATTACCGCGGAATGTGCTCTTAAAACAACTGAACGTACATCGTCGACTTCATCTACGTCTACGGTCAGCTGTTTAGAAAGTTTCCGCCTCAAATGAGAAGAAGAGGAAGAAGGTTGTGCAGATTTTTCAGGTTCCGAAGTATTAACACTGTTTACATCCGGTTTGTCCTCTTGCGCTACACTTCGACTCGTATTGTTAGATCGAGCCACTGAAAAATATAATATTTTCGCGGATAAATTACCAGCGATAGAATCGTCATTGCTAATCAATATCGTCGGAACGCGCCATGCCTATGACATCCACCTGGAAACTAGGCGACATTCAATGGAATAAAAGCCGAGGTTGATGTGATCGCGTCCCCAATAGAAAACGGTCTCTCTGACATTACACGAACCCAGAGAAAATATAAAAATGTGGAAACCGGTGACGCACCCACTTGAACCGGGAGTGCCAGTGTTCCAACCATAATGACATTCGATGAAGGGAATAGCAAAAACACAGACGTTATAACGCAGGGACGTTCTCACCCTCATTTCCTTGTACTGCCTCACATTATTCAAAAAGTTGTAAGATGCCATGGTAACAGTGGCTGTGAATCACGGGAAGATGAACTGCTCCTCTCAACTCATTTTTGAGAGGAATACCCATTTCCATGATTTACACCTATTTACTGCCATGGCATCTTACATCTTCTCGAATAATGCGCGGCAGTACAAGGAATGAGAACGTCACGCTTAAAAGACGTATAGCTTTTTGCTATTCTCTTGATCGCATGGCATAGCTGTTGGAGTACTGGCATTCCCGATTCAAAAGGATGCACTATCGGTTTCCTTATCATTATCTTTCCAGGAGAAGTCATAGGCACGCGCTCCCGTTCAGAAATGGTGAGCTGTGCGGCTCAAATACCAGCGGTAAGGTGGCAAGTAACACAAAAGTGAAGAAAAAAGGCAGAAAAAAACCGCCCGAAATGCATTAAATAGAGTCCCATACTGCGCTTGTTCGTGAATAAGGCAAAGAAGGGCGGGGTCGGACTACTTCTCACGTGCTAGGATCATTAGAATAAGAGCTCTTTTCTCTTTTCACATCATTCTGACCAGTCGGAATGGACAGATTAGGTAGCGGCACAACCGCACCATCAGGAAGCCTTCATAAATGAAAATTGGGCGTAGCCGTGACCAAGAGGGCGGAGCGGTGGCCTCATCGCGACCAGGTCGCGCTTTCCTAGTATTTTTGAGCTGCGGAAGAGTACATCCGTGCTTGCAAACAGGACTACTATGCCCAAAGAAGAAGTCTGCGTGCCAAATGAAGGGCGTGCTTTTGAGCAGCTGCTTATTCTAGGTGACCAGACGCACTGTAGTATAAACACTGCTACGTTGAATCCATTAGCTCCCACGCGTTACCACGAAGTGGATCTCCTGTCCCACTTCCAAGCACATCCAGCAACGCCGGACCCAAGTGGAAATCGAAATTATTGCGACTACTTCACCATGTGTTAACGGTATCTAGTAGTTATTGTGCTCATGAGTGACCCGATGGAACCTGACCGTGTTGGTGGTTCCTCCCCTACAGATCCTGCTTTAGAGAGCAGAGGCAAAGGGAGCGCGTTGCGACTCGGTTCTCCTCAACTACTTTTGATTACCTTTATCAACAAAGGGTCTGTTATGGAGACCTGGAAGAAAATCTGAGCAGGGAAGTCCGCCAACTTACCAGGAACTTTGAATGGAGACCTGGGTAGATCGATAGTCTATAAGGTTATTTACAAATATAGATAGCAAAACTGCAACCTGCATTTCACAAGCAACTTATGAGCAGGTAAAGTTTGTAATGGTGCAGTAGGGTGGAGGCTTGGTGGTGAGCTGAGCATAAGCGAGGAATCGCATACGTCGAATCGAGTCGTGGTGGTTCAGTGGTAAGGTTCGACGTATGCGATTCCTCGCTTATGCTTCACAGCTCACCACCAAGCCTCCACCCTACTGCACCATTACAAACTTTACCTGCTCATAAGTTGCTTGTGAAATGCATGCAGTTTTGCTATCTATATTTGTAAATAACCTTATAGACTCTATCGATCTACCCAGGTCTCCATTCAAAGTTCCATGGTAAGTTGGCGGACTTCCCTGGTGAGCAATACGACCTAATTCCAAAATACAATCCGAAATTTATCAGAGCTGAAAGAAAACAAAAGAAGTGCTCAGGTTGAACTACAGTAAATATAATACAACTGAAGCTCAAACTAAAGTTAACTGAAGCAACTAAAGCTTCCACACACAGACACACAAACAACAAAAAGCGTGTACCACTGTATTACCTGCCGAAGCGTACGAAACGTTTGGACGACGGAAATTGGTGGACTCCGTGTAAGAAGTGCAGGCAGACGTTGACCTTTCGTTAACAAAACTCCGTTGAGTTCGTTCTCAAAATTAGCAAAATAAAAGCAGTTCCACGGCATACGGGACCAGAACAAGACGCTAAGATAGATATTTGAAGAAGCCAGTGAGCAAGACTGGGCCATGCCCATTCCCTGTTCGCCTACGCCTCAGTGGCGTCACTCTTCTGAGAGGACGCAGACGGGCAGATAGTGGATGCAGCCTAGCCTCACTGTCGATTGTTCTCCACTAGTACCTTAGCGCCTAGAAGGGTAGTGTTGGCTAGCTCAAAGTCGTTAACAAAGAGCAAAAGCCGAGCAATGAATAACTAAAAAGAAAACAGAACGCAGACGAAAATAAGCTGATTTATTAAGATACGCTTACCTAGAACCCCAGCACTGCCTCTACTGGTTTCCCGAGAAATTCGAGTATTAGCACCACACACTAAAAACAAAATGACGAAACACATGCGATAAGCCGCAAGCAACTGATTTAACTAAAGCAATCCGCAACGAACAAAGCCATGCAAGTTTAATTTCGAAGCACAAAAACGAATATTCTATGCTTGTCAGACCCTTAAGTCTCGATAATCATATATTCGGTTTTAGCAGATGAGAGAGGCCAGTAGTGGAACAAAACAGATTTTACAGTTCGAGTCATAGCAGCCACCGCGTCCCGCGGGCTTGGTTTACTAACCCAATTTCAGGGTCCTTCTGACTGGCACGCTATAACGCCTCAGGCAGTGCTCGTGTGACATACGTATCACCACACGGACCGCTTCGCTTAGTGCGCATGTGCGTGCGAGTCCAAGCCTAGGGGTGAGACGGGTTTCTGCGAGCGTTTCGGTTCTGGTGCGGGACAAGACGAGGACGCTTCAAATAAGGTCAGTATTGGATGCAGGGCACATCATTGGTTGGGGATTTTAGTCGACTCTATACGACCCCCCCCCCCTTTTTTTGGGAGTTGGTACGACCCCCAGCCCTCTGTCCTTCCTCATCGAATCGAGCCGTCGAGCGGGGGGGGGCATATAGTACGTGAAACAGGAAAATCACCAAAAGTCAACCGCCACTCCCACAACGCCAAAACGTATACGACCCCCTCCCTTTACAACGTCCATGAAGCGAGAAAAATCTTTCAAACGAAAACGCCTAAGGCAGCGTTCATACTTCGCGACAGCAGCGGCGATCGCGGCGACCTCGGCGATCGCCGCGATCGTCGGTACGTGGCAGAGCGCGCCCCAACGCTATTATGGACCGCTCGCTTGATAAATAAGGGAATCCAACTTGTGAGACCTTCTTTTCTCTTAATAATGGCTACTAACTGATAACTTACGACTTTCTATACATAAGCGGATCTGGAATATGAGGTAAGGAGGTTTCACTTCTTTTTAGGTCGGGATAAGGCCAACTCCATTTCCTGGGTGAGCTTCTTTTGTTTCTTTTTGTTTTATTATATAAGTGTCTTGAAATTTCAAACAACGAAGAAAAAAAAGAAACAGAAAGAAACTCACCTAGGAACCAAAACACTAATCATTTTACGCAACATCAACAGGTGAAAACTTTATAACCTCATGTATAAGCTCGACGAATGAAAAAAGAAACAATAAAAACCTACCCTAAATGAAGCTCTCACGCTTTTTGCTCATTTCTATCCTGAATCAAGAAAGAAAATAGAAAACAAAAGCCATTAAGTTGGGTTCACCTTTCTTTGTGTCAAACCAAGCTTCAGTACCTAAGAAAATTGCAGTTAAAGGAAAAAACATGAAATAGGTCGCTTCTTCCTAAAAGCCTTCGAGTCCAAGTAATAGCGTTGGGGCGCGCTCTGCCATGTACCGACGATCGCGGCGATCGCCGAGGTCGCCGCGATCGCCGCTGCTGTCGCTGTGTCGCGAAGTATGAACGCTGCCGAACGTACAATAAGAAAAAAAAAACAGCGTGAATTCAAAAGTTATCCAAGTTGCGGATCAATTCATGAATAATAAGGAACAACAGGAGCAAACTACTCACTCTGGGGTGAAGTTGTGTGTTGAGATGCACAAGGATTTTGTTCATTCGATCCTTGCCTACCTGAAAAGTACCATCCCTTCATACAACTCCAAGAGAGTGTTTATACTTCGCGTCAACGTTTTCAGCGTACGTCAGTGTTTTGAGCGACTCAGAATGTATCGATATCGATTACCGCTGAAAACGTTGACGCCTAAAAGCGCCGGATGGATATCCATATTGTCCTAGTTGCTAAAATGCTCAAATGCTCAAATCTGAGATGCCAACAGACGCTCAAAACTTAGCTGAAAGGTATACGCACTCTAAGAATTGGTAAAAACTAAAAAATATAATAAATAAAAATAATAAACATTCATAAAAGCACTACTATACACTAAAAATAAAAGACTAACTGGACTGCGGACGATTATCGTGGCCTTCGGTTTCGTTTTGTGGTTCACTCGTTCGAGATGATCCCTCGAAATTGTTGGAATCGCTCGTTTGCGGTGATGTTGTAGTCGTCGTGGTCTCACTCTCTTTTGTGGTGTCTTCTGAAACCAAAAAAGGCGATCTGCGAATAAATCGAATTAGAACGTATTAAGCTAAAAACTGTAAATGTTTGAAAAACGGTCGACGTCATACCAACAGAACAGCAAATCGAATTCCGATTAGCGTCCAGTATGGTGCCCACTTCACCGTGAATCACTGACACCATGTTCTTGACCCTTAAATAGCTCGAACAGGTAAAAATGATATGGAACGTGGTACACGAAAAAACAAGAAACGAAGAATGACAACAGACAAATGAATATCACACACTGTTAAACGAGTTGCTGACGACTTTCATCTCGGTGCAGTTCATATCTGAATGCATAAAGGGGCGGAGCCGTGAGAGCGATGATGGTTCAGCATAAAATGAGGCCGGAAGGAGAGCCTACACTGCATTATGCAGCTGCTGCCCAGACACCCCTTCTCGCCCTCCGATGTGGACTGTAACTACAATGCGCTCTAAAACACTGCCCTCACAATTCGGGATTACCGCGATTCCGTCGCATCATCTGGGAATCGCACAACTGCGACCAACCGCGGTCTACCGCTGATGCTTGGACCTCTACAACTGCGATTTATTTACATTCGAAGTAAAATTTCTTCATACGGTTGCAGTAGCCTAACGATCGCGCTATAGCGCAGCTGGTCGCAGTCGCGAAGCATGAACGCGGCCTCCTAATTGGGTATGAGACAAATCGGTTCACCGCAAGGCGAGCGCCGCGGCGACGCCGCGCCCGTAAATGACAATGTTTAAGTTGTACATGGCGACAGCGGGCAACGGATAACAAAAAAAATTAGCCATAAATGCAGGCTAATGCGAATTACGAAAACGCCGCGTCCACCGCCGCGCACGACGAAGTGGCAAAATACGGTTGTCTTGACAATCTCCCTCACAATCAGACAAATATTCTCCGGCACTATCGTATCTGGCACGGGGGCACTGCGCGGCGCCTTCACGTCTCTTCCGAAACCGAAGTTCAGGCTTACAGCGCAGACCATAAGAATCTAGAGACTGCTCCGAACCCCTCGGCGACTCTGACTGTCTGCACTCTGAGGCTATGCCTTGGTTGGGGGAAGTAACGCAGAGGCACCGACTAGCAGTGAAACTAACAGTGAAACTGAAACACGTTTCATCCTCGTTCAGGGTAAAAATTAGCAAAAACGAGACACGAATAGATTACACTGCTACGACTGATGAGCACAACAAGTAAAGCAGCATTAAAGAAGGCATTATAGAAGGGAAGGCATGCGATGGGCCGGGGAAATGGGGGAAACAAATAAATTCCTTATCCGTTCGGCCGAGGAGGGGGAGGGGACATTTCACACTTTCGTTAGTTCCTCTAGTCAGTTCATGTTAACAAAAGGGTCTTAACTCGATAAAACTTGTACACTCATGTAAACCCGCGAAATGGTACAAGTGGGTCAATTTGGTAACAAGAATTTGCACTTCTTTACACGGTGGCCCGTACAAAGTGAGTATCATTCGTTGCCTTCACCAAGGCAACGAATGATACTTTCCTACTTTGTAGGCCACCCCGCCCATCACGTCATCGTGGAATTTCCCTCCAACATAGTTCTGTAAAAGGCGCAAGCTTGATGACTTTCATCTTTTTGGCCGAAAAAATTACTTATCTTAAAGTTTATCATATATTAGATTGGGAGCATCTCCTGAAAGTAGTTGTTTCGATCAAATGACTCATTGATAAAACCTCGATACTTCAACAACTGAAGTGTTTTCAAAAAGCAGACCCAATGCATCTTTACAACTAGCCATCGGTCTGATTTATTGAAAACACTTCCATTGCGGAAGTATTGTTTTTGATCGATGAGTCACTTTCTCAAAAGAACTAGTTTTACCAAAAGGGCATGTGATCAATTTTGACTCTACCAAACATATGATAATCCCACAAGAGTAGTATTCTGCTGTAAAGATGTCAGTTCATAAGCTGACACTGGGAGGGGTCTTAATCGTTCACGCTTTGCACAGAAACGGCGTTTTGCATTTTCGAGAGATTATCCCTAAAAGTTTCAGGTAGTTACCAGAGTTAATTCGATAGATGTCACATGATGGGATGTCTTGTGAATGCCAGATATGTCATAAATGCAGATAACCTTAGCCCCAACAGAAATATGGTGCGATTCGGCTTGGCGGGGGCATTTCGCTTGTGCCGGTCGATCAATGCTAGTTCCCTTATGCAGACCTGTAAACTCTTGTAAAGGAAGGCAATACCAGCTTAGACTTGACAAGCGTCTACAGGCTCCACCAAGGTGAGACGTGTAACTTAACCATAACTAGTAAGAGAAACCAGCAAAATAAGATAATGCGCCTCCAGCAGAAGAGAGCTGAGAACGACTATACTAGAATATTCATTAGCCATGCATTAGAAAGCGCAATGCATTTAATCAGGACCCCTTGTAGTATCGCAAAGTGAAATCTTTAGCGACCAGCAGAATCCACACTTATCAGCGACCGCTGTTAAGTACGTTTCTTCAAAGCGGCTTCTGAGCGAATAACGACAGTCCCATAATACCACGGAGAATGCGAAGGGCGTGGCTGCGTAGTTCATTTCGACGTGTCGGTGGCTGCGCTTTTGGTGAAATATTGGTGTTCTGGGATAGTTGTAACCATGACTTTGTGGAACGAGGACAGTCCCTCCTATCACGTCCCAAAATACCTTGCTCAAACGAAGCATGAGGCCAAGCCCTCCCCATTTAAAGCATACAGGGTCCACGAAGTCAGTGGGGATCAGAAATGGTAATCAAAGCTTGCCTTCCTTCCCGTGGTGTACTTCAGGACATCCGAGCCAAGCATCGCGCACAAACTAGCAGCATTTCTCAGCTGGTTGACATGATACACTGCTGCATGCCTATGTTGAATCAGTTAGGCCCCGGTGTGGCCAAATACCAATCCTTTCCCTTCACTGAGGAATAACCAGCGCACGTCGTGCCCTGCTCGGCGAGTGGGGAGGACAACCTTAGCCTAATCAATTTTCTCCGGGAGTTATGTTTTGGATGCGTATAGATGTGATATGGACGACTTGTCGCTCACATATCCTCCAAGAAGTCTCCAATTTCGATGAGCAAATGCACTATCAATTGGTGCATGACAAGCGCCCTTTCCTCAGAGTCCCCTTGTAGGAAATCATGGCAAGTCTTGCTTGGCATATTCAGTAAAGGGAATTAAGCAACGACACGACCCAAAGTTGCTTAAAAACAAGAAAACATGCAACTCTCATCAGTTCCTAACACCTTCCCCTCCCTTTCCCCATATCAATAGACATTCTCTAACACCTCGTCATGTAAAAGACAAAAATACAAGGAATTTCACGCTTACTATCACCTTCATAATGGATTACCAAGCTTACTTCCATTCGTGGTCAGGAAGGCGTTGAAGTGTGGACCCAACCTTTGCAATCACCCCATATA